CCCCCTTCCTCCCTTGCACCACCCCCCCTCCCCACTTGCATGACTTCCTTCCTCAATTGCACCCCTCGATCCCCTTCTCCATTGCACCCCCTGCCCCATTGCATGGTCCCCCTCCCTCAGTTGCATCCCTCAGCCCCAATGCGTGGCCCCGCTCCCCCCACTGCACCTCAGCCCTATTGCATCACCCTCTCTTTTTATTGCACCCCCTGCTCCCACTGCGTAGTCCCCTTCCACCATTGCACCCCCCATCCCCTTATTGCACCCCTGCTTTTCAGCTCACGGGGGGGAGAAGGGGGTGCCCTTGAAGCTACTTTTCATGTCCTTTGGAGGCCCTTGAAACGTCTGTTTCAAATGGTTTTGCGGGTGCTTGCATGACTGGCTGCCCCTCTGCTTGAGGGGGGAGTATTCCTGGGGCTGGGGTGGAGGGAAAGAACCAGTGTTGAGTTGACTCAGTCTTCTGCAAACAGCCAGATCGAACGCTGGGCCAGGGCAGGGATGACAGATGCTTTATCGCTGCCAGAAAGAGGTGGAAGGGGAATGACCCGCGCCCTGTCAGTAGAGCCAGCGGGGACGGGGCCATGTCGTGAGGCACTGGGCCGGGACCCAAGAGAGCTTGATTTTGTGCCCAAGCTCTGCCTCAGTTGTCCCATCTGTAAAATGGGAAGAATGAGCCTGTATCTGTTTAGATGGTCCGCTCTTTGGGGCAGGGACTGTCTCTCACTGTGTGCTGGGGTTTCCGATCTCGGTGAAAAACACCCCTGCGGGAATCTGGGCCGGAGGGGGAAGTCTGAGACCCTCAGGACTGGGGTTTGGCTGCGTGCATCTTGTGTCAGCATCAGCGTGTCTGATGGTGTGTGTCTCAGACGTGCAGGCTCATCCGCACCGGGAAACACCCTGAAACATCTGGCTGTGGCAGAAACAGCTGGCTTCCCTCCCCTGAGAGGGGCCGGGAAGAGGGGAGCATTTCTCAATGAAATCTGTTTCCTAGGCCACTAGTCCCGCCTGCCCTGCTGCGATAGGTGGAGGCCGTTGTCAGTCATGGCCCCGGTATTCTGTTTCTGCCACGTCGTGCCTACGTGGGGGCTGGCCATCGCGGGGCCCAGGGGAGCTGCAGTGTAGCCCGGTTCTGCTCTCTCTTAGGGCCCCCAGGGGCTGTTCCACTCAGCTGTGCCAACCCACCCCTGCTACCCCCCAGCCTCAGCTCAGTGGGGACCTTCCATGCCGGGGGTGTGAACTGAGCTATCAGAATCTGTCACTTGCAAAGGGAGAGGCAACAAATAGGAAGAGGACGGAGCTCCCTGAGCTGTGGGCTGCAGGAATCGGAGCAAGAGAAAGATTTAAGGGACTGAGCATTCCTGAGGACCATCCCCAGCACTGGGGAGGAGAGTGGGGTCTAGTGGTTAGAGCACAGGGGCTGGGGAGCCAGGACTCCTGGGTTCTGCCTGGGGTTATAGGGAGAAGTGTGGTCTAGTGGTTAGAGTGTGGTGGGTGGGCTGGAGCGAGGACTCCTGGGTTCTCTACCCCTATCGGAGAGGGCAGAGGGGTTTAATGGTTACAGCAAGAGGGGCGTGGGAGCCAGGGCTCCTGGGTTCTTTTCCCAGTTCTGGGAGGGCAGTGGGGTGTAGTGGTTACAGCAGAGGGGCTGGAGTGAGGACTCCTGGGTTCTCTCCCTACCTCTGAAAAAAAAAAAGTGGCACCTAATGGTTAGAGCAAGGTCCGTGTGAGGAAGGCTGAGAGCCGCTGTGTGCGTCCAGCAGGCGTCGCAGGCCCTAGTTCTACGCTGCTGTTTCTCTCTGCAGGTGGGGCCGCGGCTTTGGCTTGGTGGAAGGTCTCTTGGGGAAACACAGCGCCTTGAATCAACCCAACAGCTTGTTTGGCATCGTCTTCTACACCCTACAGGTGTTGCTGGGTAAGTGGGGGCCCATCTGCCCCGGCCCAGAGGCGCCGGCTGGGGCCGGACCGTCTCACGAAACGGTCTCTCCTCCGTCTGCAGGCTTCACTCCCCGCACCCTGGCGGCCGTCGCCCTGCTGGGCAGCTCCGTGGTCTCCATCGCCGGCTCGCTCTACCTGGCCTACATCCTCTTCTTCGTGCTCCACGACTTCTGCCTGGTCTGCGTCACCACGTACCTGCTCAACGCCGCCCTCCTCTTCCTCAACTACCACCGTCTGGCCTGCCTGAGGCGGAGCGGCCAGCGCCGGGCCAAACCCAAGGGACAGTGAGCGGGGCTGACGGAGCCCCGGCCCCGCCCCCTCCTGGAACTTCAGCTGTGATAAGGAAGCCTCCTCCATGGGCCCATCTAGCCCAGTATCCTGCCTCCTCTCCTGGGACTCAGCTAGCCCAGTCTCCCACTGCCTCCCTGCCAAACTAGCTCGCTGCCTGGCTGCATCCAGCCTTCCCACACAAACGGAGGCCTTCCCTGGATGCATTCACGTCTTTAGAGGGTTTTTTCCTCCACTTTTTTATAACATCCTAGCTGCATTTTCAAAGGGAAAGATGGTGGGGAGATGGAGTTTAGTGGCTTAACAATGCAGGGAATCCAGGGTTTCAAAGGGCGACATGACACACACCCCCAGCATAGGGACTGAGTGCGAGACCAACCCGCAGGTCAGATTTCATCACTTCCAGCAGGGGGCAGAGCGGCTCTTAAATCTCTTTGATTTTTTTCTAGCAGGGACCAGCGCGAGAGAGACCCGTATCCCTAGCGAGACCAACCGAGGCAGGGCTGGCGTCTGAGCTCAGGGACCTCTGTGTCAATCCAGAGCGACTCCTTTGGAGTCCGGGCTGGATGGTCATCTTAATGAACTCAGCGTGAGCGGATTAAACAGCAACATATCTAACCTGGCAGTGTCCGCAGTACTGTCACTGACCAGCAGGGGGCACTGTGCACAGAGAGCCACATGCCATCAAAGTGACCAGCCAGAGCTGTCTGCGTGCAGCTGATTGGGCACAAAATCAAATGTTTGTATCTGAAATAAAGTCGTCCTCAGCAAGAGGCAGCAGGGGGCACTTGGTGACTTGTTATTTAATCCTTGAGAAATTTGGGTTATGCAGGGTGGTGTCAGCTTAAAAAGATCCAGGGCTCTAGGATATGGTGATGGGACAAGGGGTGGATTTTTCTGGGTTTCTTTCCTTCTCCCTTTTCCCTTTCCCAGCTCAGATCCCGGGGCTCAGTACATCCTGCTACCATCTCTGCCCAGCAATGGATGGTCCAGAGGAGGGTGCAGCCCCTCGATGGTGCCTTGAGCTCCCAGCTGGCTTCTTTCACTGCAGCATCCATGCTCCATGTACGTGCTACCTAGATGCAGTCTCTGCTTTTCCGCAGCGGTGAGTTCCACAGGTCAGCTCTGCAGAGATGCGTAGAGTTCAGATTTCCCTCGGTGTTAATTTCACTGCATGGGCAATCGGGGCAGTGTGACAGTCAACCTGTGGAACTCCTTGCCAGAGGATGTTGTGAAGACCAGGACTTTTAACAGGGTTCAAAGAAAGAACTGGATACATTCATGGAGATTAGGTGCTTAAATAGTTGTTAGGATGGAGAGGAATGGTGTCCCTTGCTTATGTCAGGGGCTGGAAGTACAAGGCTTGGAAATAACAAAAGACCCCAGGAGTCCTGCTCCCACAGGACTCTGCGTCCCTCCCTCCGCCCTTCTCTCCCAGAGCCTTGGCTCTGCCCCTCTTTC